CTCCTCAAATTAGTCAACTGGCTCTTATAATTAGAACGGAATGTAGTATAATGATAATTACTGTGAATAAGGAGAGAAAAAAATTTATGTTAAGAATACATGACCTTGTCAAGTTAACTAATAAGGAAAACGAAGTAAATCTGATGTCGAGGAATTTTGGCAGCACAACGTTTCATTAAATCTTGCTTTACCAGGAAATATAAGATATTCATACAGATCTCCAACTGAGCAGAAGAAGTAACTACAAGAAAGGGGACGTCATACGATGATTCAATTGAACCTCTCAACTTGGTTTTGTGAGACAGTCCAAATTTCCATCCTGCAAAATAACTCATTGAACATATCAGAATAATGCTCTGGGATACCTGGCAAGTGTACCGAGAGGATCTTTCATGTGCTGATTTACCTACAGACCTTGTGTCTTGATCATCTATCCTAAGTTTCTGTCTTCTTTTCTTCTTTCAAGGCTTTTTTTTTTTTAAACTTTCAATTCCAAGAAAAAAAGAAGTCCAGAAAAATATAAGATAATCAACATACTCTAAATTTACAGAGTATGTAATGATAAAAGAAACTATACAAAAATGAAACACAAGAATCAACACAGACGATAGGATGGGTTTTCATTTTAGACAAGTGTTCACGTGATAATGAGTAACCGTCAATATCATAAAATTTAAAATTTTGATATACTTTTTAGTTTGAGATCATTGTAGATGATCAGAAAATAAAATTGAAAAATCAGCAAGTAAACAAATAATGCTCATAGAAAACAAACACAGGAAGTGACAATGTCTCGAGCACATAAAAATCATTACATGGATGACTGAAAACTTCATGCCCAGATTCCAAAAACCAGATACTGTTCTGATACACCAATAATTCGAGGAGTACATCCACTTGCAAGATAGAATAACTACTCAATTATGCATGCATATTACCTGGACAAAAAGCACCAGATAAGCCACACACAAAACAGCGAAATTAAATATCCATCTTTAGAAGAAAGACGAACAACCAGAACTCACAAGTGAAATAAAAAGCAAGAAACGTTTGGTACATAATATCCCAAGAGGACAGCAAGCCTTAGTACAGAATGATCTAGATTGTTCCAAGTCTATTTTCAAAAAAGTCTTGAAACAAAGTGCTCCTCCGATCCTTAATATAAGACATATTTAACTAATTTGATTAGATTAAAGAAGTTAAGTAAGTTAGTTAATTATAAGAAATGTGACATTTTTTTTCCTAAAATAACATAATCATCTTTTTTAATACTCCCTCTTCCTCTTCTACTTGATTATGGTTGAAGGAGTATCCATAGGGATAATTTAGAGAAAATTGATAAACATGAGAAATTGGTCTTACATTTAGGACAAAAACTAACTCAATAATTGAATCCTATATTAAGGACCGGAGGAGCAAATTTACAATGGATCATCTCACCTGAAAAGAGGGGCAAAAAAAAAGAGTAGACAGTAAATTTTGCAATGCAAAAAGTATCATAGCCCTTCAATGTGGATGCTGTCGAAGTGGTACAAGGCTTTCTGCATAATTGAGTATAAGCTGACATTTGCCGCATACGCCAATAGTATAGCTCTTGAATTCATTACTAGTGAGATCGAACATGACAATTTTTGTTTCATTATTCTTCATACCTTCAGCTCCAGGCATCACTTGAACTTTGCAGATGATGTTATTCCTGCAAATAGTTTGCGGACATAAAATCCATGGATATGGGCATTGAAAAGGACTGGTAGTATATTTCTTAGTCCAAGTCCATTTCTCCCCTGATGCACCTGTACCCTCCTCCATCACCCACAGATCAATTGACGAAGTTTCAGAGTTTCCATAGCAGTGGGATAAAGTATAGCAAGCTTGTGCTCATACATAGCAAAACTAACACCGTCTTCATAGCTTATTTGAGTAGGCATTGGAATCAAAGTAGATACTTCCATTGCCATGTCAAATGAAACTATCCAGTCACTAGCAACAATTTCACACTTCTTCCCTTATCTACTTTATACTCTACTGTGTATCCAAATCAAAAGATAGCTCCATTAGCAGTAAAATTTTCAGCATATCAACGTCGTACAACCCCCAGGTTCCCAACCTCTACCTCCTTCCATGACCCCATACTTAATGAATACACCTCCACCTTCTCAACCATTTCATCATCCAAAGAAACAAAAAGTCTCACTATCCTGTAATCATTAAGAATTGGATCGAACCCAAATCCTACCTCGTAATCCGTATCCTTGAACAATTTAAGGCGTCGGAGCACTTGTTTGACTTCTTTAGTCGCCGGATTATACAATAGAAGGGAATGAGACTTATTAATGACTTCAAGACAGAGCAACCCATGATGGTAATAGAGGTTCCTGACAGTCAGCTTGGAATTCTTGAGTGGGATCTTATGAAGTTCGTGGACTTCCATCTCGCCATTGAGCAAACAATAGTAACAGAGATAACATGCGATCAAACATTTTAAAAGAAGAAAAGGGTTTCGATGGGTAGAGTGATGCAAGTGGTCTGCGATGAAAGAAGGGGATCTGAAGAGAATTTTCCAATCCCTGCACACACTTTGAAATCTGAGTAAAGACTTTCCCGGGAGCCGTACGAGTATATCTCTAATGATTTCCTGGGGAAGAAATGGCGTGCAGCCATCCAATTCCATCTGCTTCATGGTGCTCGAGAATACGATTTGATTGAATATTTAACATGGCAACTAATATAAGGATTATATTATAAAAATATATATAAATATTAGAGACAAAGAGAATTAGGATATTATAGTTAGAACCAAATTGAAAGTCAAATTAACTCTTATATATATAAGTATCAGAAGTAGTAAATAAATAAAAAAGTATTAAAATGTAAACAATTCAGAATTATAATGAAAAAACTATTTTACTATTTTATAACTTTTTCTATTTTTCACTCCGATTTTAAACTTTATCGCTATTGCACATCACCTCCCTAATCATTAACAGGGTAAATTAAGAACCTTAATTTTTTATGTTTTGATTATCAACACTCCTACCATTAAAATACCATTAAAGTTAAAGAGTTTTGACAGCTCATAGTTTTTTATTTTTATTATATTTTATATAATTTAGAAAATAATATTTGGCATTCAGAATTTAATTTTTAAGTATTTTATAATTTTTAATTTAAAAAAGATATGGTCAAATAAATATTGTAAATGCCTTTTAACTATTTTATTTTAAGTATAATAATATTTAAAATTGTATGTCAAATGATAAATATTATTTTTCAAAATGATATCATATATAATAGAAAATAGACAACAATTGTTAATTTTGACAATAATTTTAATAGCATGAAGATTGATAACCAAAATATAAAATATTAGGATCTTTAGTTCAAACTCTAAAAGGTTAAGGAAGTGATCTGAAAACTAACTAAAAGTATAGGGAAGTTTTGCTTATTTTATCCTATTCTTTTCATTGAAAAAGTAGTTGTATTAATAAATTTATTAAATTTACTTTTTGGCCAATATTAATAATCAATAAATTGATAAACGTTAAAACAATTACAGATGAATTCTAAATTTGATTAAATACAATATGCAATTATTATGAAATTACTTTAAAATCTAAAATTTTCGTCAAATTTTCAATGTTAAAAAGATTTTAATAACAAATGTCATTTATTTTTAATTCAATTTCTGTTATTCACTGATAAGATGTTAAACATTTTTTTAAAATATCTTGAATAGGAGTAATATTTGGCATAAAGGTATTTTAATTTTTAATTTATTTAAATAGGTACTAAATTGTGCAATTAATCATTGATAATTTCATATCAATTTAATCGATTCATATTGCTAACAAATACTTAATAATTAATATCATACGATTCTTTTTTTTTTTTTTAAGAAACTAAGTAATGTCTATGAGTCATGTCGTGAAAAAGAGTGTAATAAAACATCAATATTAATTAATTCATAATTAGATGACTATATTGATCGAACAAACAAGTCAAGAGTCCCAAGAAAGAATATTAATTCAAGTTAATACAAGCTAATTTATTTAATTTATTAATATAAATAATATTAATTAAAATAGTATTAACTTAAATTACTATTTTTTTAGAATCAATTTTAGAATAGTATAATTATATTCTAATTTTTATTATATTTATATTCTAATTAGAATATAGTCTAATAGAAATAAATAATAATTAATTGTGCTTACAATAATGATTTATTAATAAAATTAATTATAAAATATATTAAATTTAATTGTGATATTAATAATTTCGTGTTCTAAAGAAGACATATGGAGGGGGGAAAAAAACACTTTAAATACTAATCTAATCAAAGGCCAGACCAACTCAAACTACTTAAAAGAAGTTGCAAAGGCTTTTTTTACCACCATAATTTCAAGTTTCAAGTATATATAAAAATATGGACAACCTAGTGCTTAAATAACAGGATTACAAGAGTTGACAAAACAACTTATGAAATTTTTTTAGACATCTAAATAATATTAGAGCTGGAATGTTTATTGTTCATAACATCTGATTATGTGAGCCATATCAGGATGATTAATATCAATGTATTATGCAGACCTCTTAATCCACAATCATCACTATTATATATGAACTGATGATGGCCGCATAAGCCTATAGCATAGCTCTTGAATTCATTACTAGCGAGATTGAACATGACAATTTTTGTTTCATCATTCTTCACCTTACCTTCAGCTGCAGGCATCAATTGAACTTTGCAGATCATTTTATTCCTCCAATAGTTTGCGGACATAACTTCCATGGATATCGGCGCGGAAAAGGACTGGTAGTATATTTCTTAGTCCAAGTCCATTTCTCCCCTGATGCACCTGTACCTTCCTCCATCACCCACAAATCAATTGATGAAGTTTCAGAGTTTTCAATAGCAGTGGGATAAAGAATGGCAAGCTTGTACTCATACACAGCAGAACTAACACCATCTTTATAGCGTATTTCAGCAGGCATTGGTATCAAAGTGGATGCTTCCTTGCCACGTCAAATGAAACTATCCAGACTCTTCCAGCAATTTCACACTTCTTCCCATTATATACTTTATGCTTTACTGTATACCCAAACCAAAAGATAGCTCCATTAGCACTAAAACTTTCACCATGTTTAAGTTTCACAACCCGTAAGTTCCCAACCTCTACCTCCTTCCATGATCCCATATTTAATGAATTCACCTCCACCTTATTAACCATTTCATCATACCCAGAAACAAAGAGCCTCACTATGTTGTGGTCATTAAGAATTGGATTGAACCCAAATCCTACATCGAACACTGTACCCGTAAATCTTTCAAGGCGTCGGGACACTTGTTTGACTTCTCTAGTCGCCGGATTATACAAGAAAAGGGAATGACACTTATTAACGATTTCAAGACAGAGCAAACCATGATTGGAATAGAGGTTCCTGACAGTCAACCTAGAATTCTCAAGAGGGATCTTATGAAGTTTGTGGACTTCCATCTCGCCATCGAGCAAACAATAGTGATAGAAATCACACGCGATAAAACATTTCAAAAGAAGAAAAGGGTTTCGATGACTAGAGTGATGCAAGTGGTCTGCGATGAAAGAAGGGGATCTGAAGAGAATTTTCCAATCTTCGCATACACATTGAAATCGGAGCAAGGACTTTACCGGAAGCCTTATGAGAATGTCTCTAACTATTTCTTGTGGAAGAAATGGTGCGCTGCTATCCATTTCCATCTGCTCCATTGTGCTCGAGGATGAGAATGGGAAGACTCCGCACTTCATTGGAGGCGGAAAATTAGGGATTAATAAATAAAAAGTAATAAATATTATTATTATTATTATTAAATAAAAAGTGTTCATAGTAAACAATTCAGATTGGACAAAAAATTCACAATTATGATGAAAAAGTATTTTACAACTTTTTGTTCATTTAGTTTTTTTTTTCATTATTTAATACTATAATACTCCTTAGATCCTAAATAATAAAACCCCTTTCATAGTGTAATTACATTATAAAAAGAGTCTTACATTATTGACTAGAGGAGTAATAATTTTGTGAGTGCCTTTATATTTTTTTACTGAAAAAGTAGCTATGTCAATAAATTTAATAAGCTTACTTTTTGGCCAATATTAATAGTCAATAAATCGATAAACATTAAAACAATTACAGATTAATTTTAAATTCGATTAAATACAATATGCAATTATTATGAAAGTAATTTAAAGTTTAAACTTTTCATAAAATTTCCAATATTAACAAGATTTTATTGTCAAATTGTCATTTATTTTGAATTCGAGTTCTCTGTTATTCTATGATAAGATGTTAAACAAGCATTCTTTTTAAATAAACATCTTAAATAGGAGTAATATTTTCATAAAAATATTTCACTTTTTAATCTATTCAACACATGTACTAAATTGTACAATTAATCATCGATAAGAATCAAATCGATTCATTTTAATATTACTGACATGCACATAACAATTAATATCATGCAAATTCCTCCAAGTCTAAAAGTGAAAGGAATAAAATTTTTTAAAAAAATAAAAAATTTACAAGTGCAAAAATATCACGATATCATACAAATTCAATTTATTGTAAAAAATTGTATCTGAATCCACTTTAAATTTATAAAATATTTTAATTCAGATACTAACATATGAAAAAAAAAATGTAAATATTAATCCAATCAAAAACTAAAACAACTGAAACTACTTGCAACCTTGCACAGATGCTTAAGGTTGCAAGTTGTATGGAACCCACAATCTTTCACTTATAAAGAGTTTCCATGCCATTTGATCAGAAGACCACTTGATAACGTTCCAACTTTAGCATCATCAGTTTCTTCTAATCCTACACAATCTGTGGCTGAACCACTGTCTCAAATAAGTTCCCCACCTCATCCAATATTGCAATGAGATATTGCTCCTTCTCTTATGTAACCAGTGTCATTTTCAGTCTCCAATCTCAATGATTCTCCTGCACCAGAATCCTAACCTTCAATACAAACCAGTTCTGATCATTCTTGTTCTTTACCTCTGCAAACCAATATTTTATATGACTCTTATGGTTGACTTTCTTCCTTCCTCCCCTCATTGGGATCCCCTTCCACCATCTCATCTTTGTTGTGAATGTTGTGTGTGGGTGTGTCAAAAGAAGTCTCACATTACTTGGGATTGTAGAGACTAGAGGTCCAAGTAATAACCAATTTTGGACTACTAAATGGGCTAAAATGAGAAGTGAATTTGTATGCACAGCGGGTCACTGGAGATAAATCCAACAAATTTTCCTTATCCCTTGAGCATTAGTCAAACACAGTATTAGGCATTTATATACAAAATATCTATCTAATTAATATGTCATTTCAATCACCATCATGCCTTATCAATGCTCGCAACCGACAACTTTAAACTACTCATTAAATTGTATCCATGACTATTAATCAATGAGTTAATTGCTACTAAATGCATTTTTTTATCTTTCATTATTTTGCTCATCCTGTTTTTGTAAGAAGGATCCCTTTAATCCTAGCGGCTCTCTTGCTTTGTCCCTAGTTGCCAAATACTCCTCCGGTTCTTAATATAGGACCCAATTGTTAAGTTGGTTTTGGTTCTAAATATAAGACCTATTTATCATATTTATCAATTTTCTCTAAATATCTCTCTCAACCATAATCAAGTAGAAAAGGGAGAGAGGGTATTAAGAAATATGATTATGGTGTTTCTAGGAAAAACATGTCACATTTCTTATAATTAACTAACTTACCTAACTTTCTTAATCTAATCAAATTAGTTAAATAGATCTTATTTATATTAAGGACCAGAGGAGTAACTTTTAAGGACATTATCCATAGGACAAGACTTGGATTTACCACTTATCTGCAGGTGTTGTTGTCTACAAGATTTGGGCATTACAGATGACGTTAGAAGACTCATTGAATTTTGGACAATTTAGGTGTTGTCGCCAACAATCTTAAGAGCTAATAATGTATCAATTGTTTTGGCATTCATCGGCAGCAGAGTCATCAAATAGGAAGGCCTCTCTTAGCTTTGTTCTCTTTTGATTTCATAGTCCTGTTTAAATTAGCGTTTTTCTCTTATATGATAAAAAGTTTGGGTTAAGTCTCATGTTTGTTGTTTGTGGCCCATTTTAGGACATAAGTAGAGACCTCATGATAGAAAAATGGCCAAACATGCAGCTCATGGCCTCTTTCGCATGATTGAGATGACAAGGGCTGAACCTTTGGTGCTTGTAGAGGCCAGCTATAACTTGAGTGTTGGGTTCTAACTCACATATCCTGAAGATCTTACAGTTATTTCCCTAATTGCTGCTTATGTTCAAGCCCTTACAACTCCTAATAACAGACTCAAAGTCCTGGCAAAGGAATTTGAAGCTTTAATGAGTATAAAACATTGGTCCCATGCACGTTCATTCACCTGAAGCTAAATATATTGTTGGGTGTAAATGGGTTTTTAGAGCGAAAGAAAATCCAGATGAAACAAGTAATAAGGCTAGATTAGTGGAAAAAGGTTTCCATCAAACAGATTGCTGCCAGATTAGTGACTCATGTGTGGCTCCATTGATTTCGTTTGAAGCGGTTAGTCAATTTCACATTCACCCGATCTCCAACACGGTTATTATCGTATCTTCCCATTCTCATATGTATTTTAAATTTTCAATTTAAAGAAGCTTAAAAATCGTACAACTTACCTAGTTGACAAATAAATCTCCCATTATTTAGGATCATGATATCATACTTTCTTTTTTTTCAATTTAGTTTTCTTGAGTCCACAAATACAATCATGAAATATGAATAAGAATGATGATTATTAAATATAATTCAATGAATGGCATTAATATTTAAATATTATTTTCATTTATAATAATATTATTAAAAATAATTCAAAACTTTATGTGAATGCAAATTCTAAATAAAAAAATCGTATATTAAGTAAGAAATAAATGAAAAAGAAAGGCGTGTGAGGGTAGATACGACACTGAAATTCCGCCAGGATCTTTTTCAACGCATATACTAATAATTATCTATTATGCTTTCTTATTTTAGAAGCAGAAGTTGGATGAAAATCAACCGATCGGCTGAGAATCCGTGGTTACAACTTACGACTTTGACACGAGCAAAGAATGGTTTCATTTAAATTTTATTGTTTTGCCGAAACACTTCCCGTTAATGTCCAGTCCATATTACCTACTTTAACCTCAGTCCCACCATCAGAACTTTCAGAACTCTCCTTGTCCAATGTGGGGAACACCATGAAAGTGATGGACGACCACAACAACATACTCTTTATTCCCTGCGATGTCATATGTAACATTCTCAAAAGACTTCCGATGAAATCCCTAATTCGATTTCAATGCGTATGCAGAGATTGGAAAAATCTCATCAAGTCTTTGTCTTTTACCCGAGAACACCTCCACCACACCAGTCATCCAACCTTTTGCTTCTCCTCAGATGTTACCGCAGGGTTAGTTTGCGCATTGTGTTGGTGGATCATCCCACCATGCAGGTGCTTGAAATTCAAAAGCCACCTTTGATCGATCCCTCCATTAATTTTAGGATCGTGGGTTCCAGTAATGGCTTGGTCTGTGTTGAGGTGGGCAACGAGGATCGTTGCATGGTCCCTTCTCCTTTCAGCCCAAAGAAAAATGGTACGGTTTCCCCTTACTTTTTATTATGGAATCCCCTGACCAGACAGTTTAGGGAGGTGCCCAGAACTATGAAGGGTTCTAATGGTTATTACGATGTCGGATTTGGTTTCGATCCCACTGATGATGATTTCAAGATAGTGACAACTTATGTAACTCAATTTCGTTGTGCCGTTAATCCCGTGGAAGTTTATTCATTAAACTCTGGGTCTTGGAAGGAAGTAGAATCAGAAAACTTTGAGGGCATAAATATTAGAAAAGGGGGGAAAGTCATTGTTAATGGTGTTATGTTTATGTTTGGTGGAAAGCAGAGGCCGGGTGATGATTCTAATACGGCGGTTTCGATTGACCTAACAAAGCAGGTGTGTATCTCGACGCCATTACCTTTTTTAAAATATGAATATAAACGAAGTAATACAAGGCTTACTGTGCATGAGAACAAACTTGCTTTGGTTGTTGTTACTGAATCTTATATGATTCATTTGTGCATCAAGGGGAAGATGGATTTGGACTAAAAAAGTATGCTGCTAGCACCCTTTGTGACCAGTTATGTCCACTCGCGTTAAACCCAGTGACTATTTGGAAGAATGAGATTGTCTTCCGTCCTTTTTATTTGAATGGGGATGATGATGAAAAGAAAAGGTTGTATCTGCTCAATCTCACTACTAATGTAATGAGTTTAAGAGGTTTAGAATTAAATGTGGCCCCGGCCTTGTCCATGGTAATTTTAATCATGTGGAAAGTCTTGTATCAGTTGGCAACATCAACAATAAAGAACTTTAATCGTAAATTTTACTTCGTTTAAACACTTCTGATGGAAATAAATTCA